CCGTTGAGCTGCCAGCCAGCTTGCGTGCTGGGGGAGAGGCAGTGCTCTCATAGACTGGCTGTTGTTTTGCCTGCGCTGTGGTCCAAATGGAGCCTCATGACCCAGCCTGGATGGGGGCTCGAGCACGGCAGACCACCCTGTTCCTCGTGCTCCGTGTGGCCCCGTGCTCAGCAGAGCCGCAGTCTCGGGGCAGAAGCAGAGGGGTGGAAAGACCAGCGTGTGTTTTTGGGAACAGGCTGGTGTGTGGGGCTTGAAACAGGTTTTTTTAAAGAGAGATGAGTGGACTTAACTAGGAGGGTACACTGCTTTCCTATTACCTCTTGATTTAAATTGTGGTTTTTTATGTTTTTCCACTGTAAGCTCTTTCCCATGGGTCTTGTGTTTGATCCTGGTGTGGTGGGCTGCGGTGCTTTGGGCTGGGAGCTGCTGCCAGGGGTGCTGAGGGTGCAGGAGGAGGCAGCTCACCCCAACCTGCTCGTGCTGCTGTTGCACAAGAGGTGGGAGGAACCTGAGGAGCATCACAATGCACCTGCTTGTCTGCCCTGGGTGAAGAGCAGCTGTGTGTATGCCACAGAACAGGATGATTTTGGCAGCACCATGTGTTTTTTCCCGTAGAAATGGGTTGGTTTTGTTCCTGGACTGGCAGCATTTCTTTGTACTTGGATATTGACTTTCCCTGTGGAGGCATTTGTGGTTTGTAAGACTCTAATTGCTTTAGTGTGATAGTTTTTCCTCTGTTTTCATGATGGCTTTGGTGGGTGCCATCTGCTACGGGGCAGTGCGGGGCCGAGCCCTGCGTGCCGGGAGCCGTGTGCCCTAACCACACTCGGCAGAAAAACCAAGGCTTTGAAATCTCATTTTCAGGGCTTAAGGCTTTACCTCCCAGCCCTGTTGGGACACTGAGCACTAGGGTGGGCCAAAGGGCCAAAAATATTTGTGATGGCTCCCTCCTTACTCTGCAGGTGTGTTTGCAGGGGCACAAGCACGCCTGGCCACGCCGGGCAGCCAGCGTGGTACGGGATGGATGGAGGCGGCTGTGTTTCCTCAAGGGGAGGCAGAGGACGGGCCATGGCCTTTCGTGAGCAGCTGCTTTGCTTGCAAACGGTCTGACCTGCATCTTTAGGCTTAGCTTTAGAGACTTGCCGTGCTTTCTCTCCTCCTGTGACAGCCTGGCTGCGTTGCGCCAGGATGCCGTGCTGCAGGTGACGGAGGGATGCTGCATGCTGGAACCGGGGGGCACACAGCTCGGGGACGGACAGCTCTAGGGACTGCATTTCTGACAGCTCTGGAGGAGAAATGCCCATCTGTGGGTGCTGCAAAGCCCATCTGGATGACAGCTCTGCCAGTGCACATCCCTCCTGGAGCTCCCTGGGTTGTTGGCCATGTGTCCCGGGATTCAGATCAGAGCACCAGTCTGCACAGCACGTTCTGTCCAATATCACTGGATCCACAAGAGTGGAAGGGCTGTAGTGAGTTACTTTAAGAAGCTTTTTCTTATCCGTGGTGGGCAGTGTTGTATGGGTTTTGAAGCCTCTCCTGCAAAGATGTGGGGTCCTTTTCAGTCCTTACCATTTAATTATCATCGAATCTCACAAGGGTCACTGCCAGGGCTTTGTCTTGCTGGTCATCAGAGGTGTCAAAGCTAGAAAAGAAATGTTATCAACCCGAACTTTTTAGAAGAACGACTTTAGAAACACAGTCTCAGCTTCAGGACTATGTTGCAAGATAAAACAGCACTAAAAATACCATGTAATTGGAAGGCCTGAGTTCTGCATACTCAAAGCCACTATTTAATGCCATAGTGATGTGAAAGGCTCTTAGAGAGAATCTAATTTACCATTACAGCTGCTGCCAGGGTGAGGTGAGACGGGGAGTTGGTGTAAAGAACGCTCGGGCTCCTGACACTGCTTTGACGAGCTTACACTGCTGAGTTTTGCTGGGATTGCCGCGGTGATTAGCAGTGAGAAAAATAAATTAGACAGGTCAGCAGAGAGCGGCGGCCACCCTCCCGCTGGCGTGCTCCTGATCTGTAGGGCCATACCTGGTCCTATGAGGTGGCCAAGCTTTGGGGACATCTGGCCCCAGACCTGCAAATGGGAGAGCACCTCGTGAATGTCCTGTTAATTCACACTAATTTGTAACGCTTGCCAAATTTTCAGTAGTGCACAGTTATGGTGAAATAAGATGGATGTTTCAGATGGTTAACCAAATTTGATTAAGCATTTAAAGAGCGTGAGACTGAGAGAAAATGGGAACCTGTTGGGTTTGAGAGACCTCTGTTTTTCAGATGGTCTCTTTCTTTTTTATGCAATTTCCCCATCTGAGGTCCTGGATGCAGGAGCAAGAGATGCTCCACATGCAGTGGGGCTGGCAGCATTCACCACCCCATACCCCAAATCTCCCATGGCCAGGGAGCCAGACAGCAGCTCCTGGATGCTCTGGCACCTGGCATGGGCTCTCTGCTGAGTGAGCTTTGTCTTTCCCACTGGTGATCTGGTGGGCTTCTCCCGCGATGTCTGCAGTGCTTCTGCTGGTGCTGACATGGCACCGAGGCTTGCGAGGTTTCTTTCTGGACTGTGCAAGAAGGGAAGCATAGTTTCCAGAAAGTGATTAAGAGGGAACTGTTTCAGATATCTGAGTTAGTCCATGCTGGATTCCTGCAGCATGGAAAAGAGACATTTTCAATGCAAAACTGTCTGGAGCAGGAGGTATATTTTCCCCAGTCAAGAGTAAGAGCTTCTTTGTGGACAGCCAGAAACACGGCAGAGCGGGTGCTTGGTGAAAGGATTTTCAGAAATCGCTGTGCCCAGAGGCTTGCATGGAGCCAGGTGTCATTTACATTGGTAGAATGGGTCTTAATTATACATAGGCTCTGTGCTGTTCTCCATCAGAGAGATGCTGGGATGTCGTTCTGCTGCTGGAATGCAGTCCTGGGAAACGGCGTGAAAGGTACCTGCCTTGTGTTTCTGAAGTGCTGTGGGGAAAAACTTTCATCTTGATTTTGCTTTCTGAACATATTAAAAGCTCACCAGTTGTGCACCTGTGGCAGAGGAATGACCTCCGCTCAGTGGGGCCATTCCCCACTCTCTTCTCTCTCCTTTGGGTGAGAGAAGCCAGAGGCAGCTTACAAGAGGTGGCTGCCTTCGCTGCTCCAGCCCGATGGACCATCCAGGTCTGCTACAGACCCTGGATTTTTATTCTCTTTTTACCATGTACCACAGTATGGCAAAAAAGGAAAGAAATTTTTTTTCAATTCTCTGATTTTTTTTTTTTTTTAAAGATGCTGGTGTATTAGAAGATATCACCATACAAAGATTTTCTGCAACGTTTCAGGAAAATATTAAAACAAGATTAAAATATGACCATTCCTAAATAGCTCTTGCTTGGGCTGTTACCCCCTCGCGTGACAACTGCCTCCCCAAAGTCCCAGCACCAGCTCCAATTCAACGCAAGAGATGCTCAGCTGTCATTAAAGCAAAGCCCTGGCTCACGTTTGCTGCAAAGGGCTTGAAAATGTTCCCTAATGCATCCCAGATACTCCGGAGCCAAAGGCACAGGACAGAAACCCTTTGACTATGATGGGTTTTGGAAGAGCAATATTGATTTCTTGGCTTATCTCACATGCCATAGGTGATATTGGGCTATTTGGACGCTTCGTGGTGCAGCAGTTTTCTCCGTGGTGTTCTGTGGTGCTGAGCTTTTGATCCTCTTTTTGGACTCGTTTTCTCAGGCTGCAGGTTTTGCTGTCTGCAGCGAGAGACCTTGTACTGGTCTCATTTTTAACTCGAGGAGTGTGCTACGCCAGTAGTTCATCCTGGCAAAACCACTCAGCTGGGGGGTAAAGTTTGCTGCCGCTGGGGAAGCATCGAACGTTCCTCTTCTGAGGGTGGAGAGCCCCAACATGCTGTCGTGCAACGTGTCATCAGCAGAGGCACGTGCCATCCTGGCATCAGGCAGCTGCTGGAAGAGTTTTATAAGTGCTGTCTGTGGTGTGGCCAGGCATCAACAGCCTTTCTGTCAAAATTCCAAACAAGGCAAAGTTGATGTATCCGAATTTGCTTCCCCTCCTACTGAAACCATTCATATACGGAGTCATGGTGTAAAGTTGCTTTAGGTGTAAAGTTTTAATTTCCATGACTGCAGTGCTAAGTGCCTGACTTGCTGACGGGATCTGAAGCCCAGGACTGGGCAGCTGAGGTGACATGTGGCTACTTTAGAAGTTTGTGGTTTTCTCACATTTTTTTAAAGTTCTGTTTTCTAGACTTGTAACACAGACAAAAGTACTGCAATAGACAACGTAATGGAGTTCTCCTAATAGTTTTTACTCGTAACTCCAGGGATTTTGGAGAAGTTCATCTTGCTTCCCAGAAATGTAAGCCAGAGCAAACCCAGGTTTGCGCCAGATTTTTCCAGCTTTCGACTGTGGCTGAGGTGTGATTTATGGAGAGGCTTTTCCTGCCTTTCCAGAGGGATGCC